GTGATCCATTTTTTGATGATACAACACATGATAATAAAGGTCGTTTACAAAAACAAACTGAAATATTTTAATTATATAAGCATTTTATTTAATTCTAATAAATATAAAACATATAAAAAAAAAAACGTTTTTTTTTCGTCTATGGCCATGAATGCATTCGTATACCTAATTGTCTTAATTTAGTAAAAAGTATATAACTATCTTTTAATTGACCGGGTGGTGAACCCCAAAATCGTTTCATTTCATTAACTGTAATATGCATTTCAAAAAAGAATTCATCAATAAGTATAGATAATGATTTATCATTAAGAATTTGTTCAATAAGTTGATTTTCTAATATTGAGTGATCAATATCAAGTTTAACAATAACATAATCAGTTTTTTTTACAATTGATTTTAATATATTCCATGGATTGAATTTACCAGTTTTTTCTACACCAACATTAATAAATGTTAATCGACCAATAATATCATCAGGTATTTGTTGCCAATATGTTCTTGGTGAATATTGTGATGCTTCAAATGCAATTATACGATCAAATGATAATGAATTTAATTGAAAATATTCATAAAACCAACGTGCACCTATTACTGAACTAACCGTATTTGGATCATTTACACCATTAAAAAGTGAAGCACCAATATCGAAAAGAATTTTTTGTGAATTTTGTTGATAAAGCCATGGAGCAATTGATATTGTTGACATATGAAAATTATCATATGGTGCTGATGGACCAAGAAGAAAGAAACGTTTTGATTGTATTTCATTACTTCCACTAATTTTTAATGTTGAAGGAAGATTTTCATATGAACATATTGTTAATGGATCACGAAGAAGACCAATAAGTGGTTCAATATATTGTGAAACAATACGATCTAATTGTGATGAAGTTGAACATTCATATTTATAATACATTTTAGAAAAAAGTTCATCATATTCATTTGATAAAAATGATTTATTATATATTGTTCTTTGTAAATTAATAATATATTCTAATGATCGAATACTTTTATTTATTTGATCATTTTCTTTTAATTTTGAACATACTTGATTTTGTAAATAAGTTATATTATTATACCAATATAATTCCCATGGACTAGGAGAATAATGATCAAATTTCCATTGACAATCATCAAATGAAGATTTTGCTGTTACAAAAACAAAAAAAAATTACAGAATACTTAAGAGAAATTTTGCTAATCTGTCATTGTATTGATGAATTTAACATATTATATCAAACTAGATTATGAAAAATATTTTTTAGATTCTTATGATGTAATTTGACGAACTTATTAGCATTGAAATACGAGATACTTACCATAATCTAAAAAAAAGAAAATTATATGGAATGTTTCAGTAGTTCTGATATTATGAATTCTCTGTTAGGTTTATCTATTCGACTGTACTTCTCATATAGAAACCGGATGACTTTTGCAAAATCTTTTATAGAAATCATATACATATACAAGTTTTATTTGTAGTTTCGATCTAAATGCATTATTTCTATTATAAAACGTTTATTTTCGTTGAAAACTACATATTTTTGCCCTTTTGTTACATTTCGGAGAAAGAACTTTTCTCTATTGGTTTTTCAAAGTAGAAAATCTTTCTGCCAATTTTATAAAGTGCAAAATTTTCTACAAGATATATCATATTAAAGTTTCCTTCTTGTCTCTCAAATAATTGCCATGTTAAAACACAACTTACAACTAGGAAAAGTTGACTGAAAAAAAAACGGAACTGTTGAGAAAACTTCAACTTTCTGAGAAAGCTGAAAACAACCTTTTTATTCAGTTTTAGAAGCTCTTTCGAATGAAGTTTTATTTTAAGTGGAAGAGACACAAATTGTCGAAAATATAAACGAAACTTTGGACTTAGTTTCTTCTCGATGTTTGAGAGTATTTCATGTTTCAATGCCTATAGCTCAGTCCAATTACATCGAGCAGCTAAAAACTATTTTCATAAGTTCAATTTTGATGTGAGAAATCAATTGAGAGGAAAAAAAGCCACGTGTTTAATTCAACGGTAAAATCAACTTTTTCCATTGACTCATATAGCATCCCTTCAAAATAGCGAAAATATTTTTTTTTCTGTTATATACTTTGTATTGAATTAGAATATTTATTAATTATTGTTGTAAATATTCGTGAATACGAACCATGATTAATCTTACTGGTGAGTGATATAAAGAATAGAATAATAATACCAATACATAAAAGAAAAAAAACTAAAAGTATATGTAAAATCAATAAGAATTCAAATTTTATTTCAAACTTACTCCGATCAGTTTTAAAATAAGAGTTATACATTATAATTTGTAGAAAATGCAAGATATATTTAACTAAGAATTCACTCTTGTGTATTATTTATTCATCTTAAATAGATTGCTATGTCAAAAATTATTCGTACGATTTTATTTTTCAACCTATATAGATAAAAGAGAGATCTTTTTAAGACACAGCACAGGCGGCGGAGTCATTAGGCTTGGGGAGACTCTAGCCTCCCCCGAAATGGAAGACGGAAGGCTAAGGGAGACTGAACTTAGCTTACGTTTTTACAAGTCTTTAGTAGCATGATGAAAAACTGAATATATTGGCTTATTTTCAAAAGAAAGTTGAAAATTTAGCCATCTTCGGCGACAATTGCTATCACAAATTTAAAATCATGCCTACAATTATCCTGATCTACAGCAGAAAGAGCAAGTATACGAATAAATTTCAGTGTTTTTTTTTGTTTTTCGCCTTCTTAGCTGGATAAGAAACGAAAAACTGAAGGTTTTTGCGCGTAAAAGCGTACATTTGATTGCATTAAAAACTTTTTTTTTCAATAACAGATTTGAAAGCATTAACTCTTATCAGCTTACTTTTTGTCTTAAAACAATATTGGTTATGCGTCAAAATGTATATTTTTCGTCAATAAAAACGTCAACTTTTTGTTACGTGTCCGATTGAGTAATTACAAAATATTAGAAAGTTTGGTAGTATTGCAATAGCAAATAGAATAATAAATCTTGCTTAAAAAATTTTGATACATAACTTTTTACTAAACTGCATTTTCCACACCTTACTAGCTTGCTATACATCAGGTCAGGTCAAAATTTTCTCCAAAAAAACGCATAGCTTTCTTGTGATTGAGGCGGTCGCATTGTTCGTCGAAAAGTGACCAAGGACCGATGGCTTTTCGAATTAACCTTCTGACACTGCTGCAGAAGTTTTGTTTATTGCAACATTAAGAAAATTTGTGTTAACGATGCTTCGAAGAGGTACTTAGAAAAAATTGAAAAATTCTAAAAGTTAATCACTATCTTTTTTTCACTCTCTCGTCATTCGAATTTTTTGAGCCTCCCCTATATTGTCGGCGCTCCGCCACCTATGAGACACAGACATAAGAGAACTAAAGAGCTGAGACATTCATCAAAGTTTAAATCTTTAATTGTTAATGTGTATTCGAAAGGTGAATATCTGAAACCACCAAACTCAAACTTTTATCTTCTTTAGATGTTCTATAGTAAAATTAGCCTAGATTGAATTTTTCAACACTATCTATCAATTATTCAGAAAATAAGAATCAATGGTCTCATGAAAATCTATTAGGATTATACTACCACCAGTTAGAGAATTTTTTTGATGCAATATACCAAAAGATTGATAATGAAAAGCTGAAAAAAATGAGCTGTTTAACATACTATACATTTATCTACTTACTGGGTTTATTTAGTATAACATGAGTGACAGAGGTGACAATTTGGAAACTCATAATGGTTGATATTTGATAGTACATTTGCTGCAGTATTTATAAATCACAAGGGACTAAACTAAATGTTTTTATGTTATATAACTGTTTCTGTCTTACAAAATGGTAAAAAAATATTAAAAAAAAAGTTTACTTCTAAGACAAGATGGGTCTCATCTCTCTTCAACCAAATGATTTCGAGGGTTGGCCATTGAATTGATCGGTGACATAAATGCATCCTTCCAGCGGAAAAATGTCGCTCCAGTCAAAAATGCTCAGCCGTAAGATGCCTCAACACATATACAGATACAATTTCAGAAGAAAAAAGCCACTTCCTAGGAATAATGCAGATGTCCATAGAAACAGTGAAATGGAAAAGTGACAAAATGATATCTACTATGACAAATGCGTTAGATATCCGAATAGCTATGTAGATTTTAGTACAGCGGAAAAATGAAAATGAATAGGAATAATGAAGGTTTCCATAGAAAAACTAGAATGAAAAAATGAACAAATGATTTCTTCTATGAGAAAAGTGTTACATATGTAAATAGCTATGTAGATTTTAGTACAGCGGAAAAATGAAATGAATAGGAATAATAGAGGTTTCCATAGAAAAAGTGGAATGGAAAAATAAACAAATGATTTCTTCTATGAGAAAAGTGTTACATATGTAAATAGCTATGTAGATTTTAGTACAGCGGCAAAATGAAAATGAATAGGAATAATGAAGGTTTTCATAGAAAAACTGGAATGAAAAAATGAACAAATGATTTCTGCCATGAGAAAAATGTTACATATGTAAATAGCTATGTAGATTCTAGTACAGCGGAAAAATGAAATGAATAGGAATAATAGAGGTTTCCAT